GATATTCTGGATTGAGTTACGTAGGGTTGTGGACCCTACCGTCGATCTTTGACCGACGGTTGACTTTTAGTCAATGGGTCTCAAATCATTCTACAACGTCCTTAGGGGTGTGTTTTACGTGTTCTATTGATAAGGATTCTAAGGTGTGGTTTAATAATTGTTCTAGGCGCCGATTGTTCGTGACGGCTCGATATTTATGTTAGGGAGTCGCAGCACAGACTCTAGGTGAGTGGGCCTTTGGTTTTTTGTGTATATATATATATATATATGTATATGCTTTACATTTCCCAGAAATTGCTTTAAAAAGGGTTTTACATTCTTGAATATCACGTCAGTTGCATTACACTTTGGTATATGCATTTAGTAGTTGCATATGTGTTGTGGATGCTGCGGACGCTCAGGTAAGTTCCAAGTGAGTTATAGATTATGGATGTGAGTTGCATGGTTATGATTACATTTGATGTATTTAGAGCTCGTAAACCTGCACCCCGGTGTTAATGTTTCTGCCTGTGGCCAGGGCACAGTCCTTCATGTGATGTTCATCTCCCGCACCGCACGCTTAGCTTGGATCCAAGTTAGGTGCACAGTCTTGTCATACAGACTACTATAGATGGTTCCGACTCGTAGGTGACCCGTGATTATTCGCATAGTCTTCACGTGATCGTAGCACTTGAATGTACTTATTTACACCCAGTCATTTCGTACAGACCACTGTAGGTGGTTCCGACTCGTGTGCAGGGATAGTTGATGAGCTATAGGTTCAACTGTACAGGCCATAATAGGTGGATCCGGCTGACATATTAGTTTTCATTGATTTTCTTCATCTGGTTTACTTATTTCATTATGTTGAGATATTTGGCATGGCATACATGTGGATTTTGCTATTCTGAGTATGGTTTCGATATAGATATGTATTCTATATTTTAGGAAACTATACGGGTTTTGCAGCGAGGGTTTATTATTATTTTTGGAAAGAGAAATGGTTTTTGAAAAACTTTGTTTTTGGCCCACTCACGTTTTCTATTTTGCACCCCTCTAGGTTCTTGTACCAAAGTTTCTGTATCGACGAGGATTCATGGCATATCCCACTACGGGTGGCTTCCTATGATGTTATAATCATTATCTTACTTTATTGTACTTTACTTATGCTCTGTAATCACGTGTGAAATGGGTCCATGTCCACTCACCACGCACTTGTATACTTAGGCACTTTTAGGTTTAAATTGATTCACATTTTACACATCATCACACTTTATGGCTTTGTCACCTCCCAGGTGTCGGCCAGCACAGCTCGATTCGAAGTCCTAGTGGACACTCCGGGTCAGGGTGTGTCACTTTAAATGTGTTGAATTTAAAAAAAAAAAAAAAATTGTTACGAACACTCATTGAACTACTATTTCAACCTCATTAATGATTTTGCAGAGATGAATGCTTTTAACTACAAAAGCTCAAAATCTCTTGTAAGATTTTTGATACCATATTGAAAGTAGTTGAACACAAGACCTCATGTGTAAACTTGAATTCTTTTAACCAAATAAATTATAAGCCACTTGCAAATTTGGTACTTTTCCATTCTTAGATGAAATTAAACACCAACCAAAAGCGTGTATTAATGTTGTAGTAAAATTTTCTGGTGGAATTCCAATGCTTTTCTCTAGGCACTTTGAAATTCATCAACTTAGAAGGCTATAATTTCGCATTGAAAGATATAAAAGGCCATACGCTGGGGATTCATCAACTGAGAACCATACGCTTGACATTTAATGTTGAAGCCAATCTTGCATGCAATAGCTGCGTGTGGTGCTTTAGGGACGGAGTTAGAAATTATTTCTAGTAGTGTTTTAGGGGCAACTTAAAAAACAATTAAGAAAATCTTATTATAGTATGATTTATACCTAATATAATAATATGATGATTTTAGATGATGATGTATCACAATTCTAAGGTTACAAAAATTTCAATGTAGTGGTGGAAAGTGGCAAATTGATGGAAAAATATTAAACATGAGAGGCAGAAGAGGGGTTTTTTTGGTTTAAATGACAGAACAAGAGCATTTTTGCTCATATTATATTTGATATAGTGTAGAAGTAATATGAATGTATGCTTGATGTTAGACACATATTTCTTCAAAGATAACAAGTGTTTATATAATTGCAGTATGCAGCTTAACCATGAATTACTTGAGTGGGGGCAACTACCCCTAGTGGGCCTTCATTTGCTTCGTCCATGTGGGGTGTGACTGCTTTCACAAAAAAATACACTAAAAAGTTGGAGAATTAGCTATAATAAACATATTTTGATACTTAGTTTGCAAAAATGATCATTTTTTTTTCAGTAACGATAATATATTGATCATCTATTGACGACACAACGATAACTTAAAAACAACACAACTACAATTTAATTGATCATTTTATGATCAAATTTCAAAATGTATTCATTGTACCTAAAGCTTTCTTGGACGTAAGTGAGAGTTGAAGTAGTGGCATAATTCATGTAGCCTATTTAACCACTCAATTATTTATAAATGTCATTTGGGATTGCGAGTCAAAATTCTAGATGATCATATATATCATAGTATAGATTAGAAATAGTGCCCGCACGTTGTTGCGGGATTACAAACATGCGAGCATAATATATACAAGTATTTGAAGAATGATGAAGCTTGAATCAAAGGTGTACAAGGGCTTGTGAAAATGATGCATTCAAACAAAACTCTGAATGAAAGTAATGGAATAGAAAGAGAAAAATATGACACATACCATTTGTTTGGTGTTAACCAAACTCATTCAAGAATGTCCATTAAACCGTAAACAACAATAGAAATTGAGGATTAGAAAGAATTAGACAAAATCACATATTTGAAATGAAAGATCAAAGCTGTCCAAATACCAAACTATTCATTAAAAAGACTGAAAATTTAAGAATTAGATGAGTACATCAGTGAGTTTTGTAAAATCAAAACAAAAAAACTTTTTCTTACGTCAAAATTTGATGTCATTGAATCAAACTGAAAGTGTAGTAATGTTATCAGATTTTTTTACTTCAAAATTTGATGTCATTGTTTAGGAAACCACTTTTATATGTATGAACTTCATCCTATTACCGAATAGTTATTGGAAATGGTTTGAGTTATAAAACCTGACTCTTATCAATAGCTAGGATCAAATCCTGGGTAAGAAATTCTTCAAATTAAAGCAAAAAAACTAAAGATGGCTACCTAAATTCAATAAAAATTAAAATATAATTACTCTTAGGCATGTTTTTTTTTTTCAGGAATCATAAAAACTTGAAAATATCCTAAATAGACTCTTACACCTCATGTATTCAACAGAGCTTGAATTTCTAAAGGAAAAACTTGAAATCATATACGTAAGAGTTGTGTTCCCTTTGGCAGATAAAACCAAGAAGGGCTGAATAGCTACGGCGTGCTTTGATGAAAATGCTTTGATAAAACAGTAACAAATGTAGTAGGGAACTCACACTTGCTCTTAGATATTAGTTTCATTATATGATTGCCTATTATTATGCATAAAAACAATAGTTCATGTATGACATTGAAGATGTATGTTGGTTTTTTTTCTTTTGAAAAAGATTTTAAAGTGGTTTTTTGGTTTATTTTTTCTTTTAAAAAAAAGATCAAAGTGGTTTTCTAGTGTTCAAACTCCAAACGGATTGAGAAATAACTTGTTTGTCATAAGAATAAAACTATTTTAGTTATAGTTTGGAATGAAATAACTCAATAAGCATGTAGAGCATAGTCAAATTTATGAAAAGGATATCCGATAGTTTCACAATTGGTTAGGCGAAATTGATTTTCCATATGTTGAGATAAATTTGGGTTTAAGGGTACTTAAACAGCGAGTACATAAAATAAAACAATATATGATGCAGCTTTTATCGCAAAGCCCTGCACTTACCCACCCTAATTTGAAACCCACAGTCCCTTAGATATCCTACATGCAGGTCCTAAACTTACCCACCCTAATTTGAAACCCACAGTCCTCAAACCCTTACACATTCGACAAAATCCCAGTGAAAATCAAATTAATCAACATGAAATTTGACTTAAACACTAAAGAACAAAACCCTAGTGAAAATCAGAAACCCTTACCTGGATTTTGGGACTCGATTGGTGTCGGATTCGCGTCTTCCAACGTTTGCGTCTCTGTGTGCATGGCCGGCTGGATGAGCACTGTTGAAGTGAACGTAGGACGGAAGGAGCAGTGTGAGTTGATGGAGGTGCGAAGCAGCGAGAGCACGAGCAACTTTGGGAGATTAAGTGTGAGACTGTGAGAGTGAGCAACTGAGAGACCACAAATGACCTAACTCCATGGACGGTTGGATTAGATCTTAACCAATCCAATGGTCCAAGTAATTTCTAATTATAAATTAAAAATAAATAAATAAATATATATATATATATATAATATTCGGTTCGGTTCGGAATTACCGAACGCTTTCAAAGATGTGGCCGAATCCCAAATTGAAACTTTCGGGATGGGTTCGGTTTCGATTACTGAATTTTTAGGGAAATTCGGTTTTGGCATTTTTCGATCAAATTTTGTGATGGGTTCGAGATGGTTCGGGATTTTCAGGAAAAAATTCCACCCCTAGTCCTTCTTTAGTTAGCGCTAAAAAGTTTGCCCTTGACAATATTTTTTCAATCTCCAATATACACTAGTAGTTTATTGTATTTTGAGAGGAAAAACGAAGGCAACCTCCTTGCTTCAAACGAAATTTATACATTTTCGTGAAAATATATGGCCCGGAGACTTGGTGCGTATAATTAGACCAACATGTAATGTATAATTAGACAAACTTTTGTATATTTTCTGTAGTACATTTGGTGCGTATAACTAGACCAACATGTAATGTAAATTCTGGCATTATCAATTAACATAAAACTCTTTTTGATGATTGCCAATTATCATGGAAAGGCTACAACTTCCATACGACTGCTCTTTCTGCAGCTTGTGTTTCTATATTACTATTTGACAGAATTAATAAATTACAAAAGTATAACATATATATACTCATCTATAGGATTGAATCCGGATTCCCACTCCGGATTCTTTTTGGGAGGATCCTGGGTGATTCTAAGAATCCGTGAATCGTGTCTATTTATCATACATCGTACGGTTAGAAATTATTTACATTTTTTTTTTTTACATAAAATTGAATACAAACAGTACCTAACAAAAACTGACCGCACGATGTATGATGAATAGACACAGTTCAAAGATTCCTGGGATCCTCTTAAGGAGGATCCTGTTGGTATAAGATTAACTTGATCCAATTTTCAGCCGAAAAAAGTACAACAAAAATGAATCCTAATCATTAAAGACGAACCCTGCGTTTGCAATCTTCTCCTTGAATCTTCCCGCTTGAAAAATTGTACCTATGAATCCTAATCATTAAAGACGAGCCCTCCGTTTGCAATCTTCTCCTTGAATCTTGCCGCTTGAAAAATTGTAGCTCACGGTACAATTCAATTCAACCACTACATTTTTCTTGACCGTGGCGACTTTCACCGTACCCTGAATACTCGTATAAGTCGTCATGGTCAATTCCCCTGTAGCCACCTCACTTATGAACCCTGGCACGCCCAAGATCTTCCCCGGAACAATATCCACCGTAACATTCATCCTCGACGTCCGCCTCGACTTTGCCACTCCCGCCGGAGTCCTCGCTTCGCCGACCTCCGTCCCCCTGTAGTAAACCATAGTGGTGGCATTGCTATACTTGAAAGATGCCATGTTAGGGTTCTTGATGGAGACATCCGCAAGAAGTGTTATATTAGTATCCGTACGTAGGATTCCGTTGGAAAACTCCAGCCGTTGGACTGTGACCTCGTTCATCTTGATCTTCGGATCCTTTACGTGAAACATGGTGAATCCGAGGACTATGGCTGTTACAGCTATGATTACGAACACGGCAGAGACACAGCCGCAACATTGTACGTATTTTCTTTGCCCGAGCTTTATGTGCAAGGAGACGGCTTGCTCTTCATCACTGCGGAGATGGTGTGAGTTTGCTGGGGCTAAAGGCTTGACTTGTTCTTTCGGAGAAGCCATGTTGACGAAGTTAAAAGACGCAAAAGTGGTGGCCGAAGATATATAATTGGAAATGGAAAGGGTGATGAGTTTCATGGAAATTGTGATTTTGTTCTTGTGGTGGTGTTTGATGGTGAAATGTTGGAAAATTTTAGAGTCTAGACGCGGTTGCACAAGTTGCACGGCTAGACTTTTGACTTTTGGGTTGTTTTTTTTTTTTCCAAATGCTTTATTTTGAAATGGTTTGTAGAAGCTTCATTGAATGACGAATATATTGTGGTTCAAATATTAATTCTAATAGACAACATTAGGGAAATTGAGGCTGATATTGACATAACTTGTTAGGGGTTGAAAAAATGCTTACAATTTAGGTTTTGTGGGGTTAAACATTTGGTAGAAAAAAAAAGTGGGAATGCTTTGTAAATGAGAAAAGTCACAATGTGAAAAGCTGAAACTGACATAAGACCTGAATTTGGCCTGGCCGAGAAACTTGAGTTCCTACTGAAAGTCTTTTCATTTTTGTTATGGCTGTGCTGGTATGGCGTGGAAAGCCACTTAATGCAATGATGAATGCAGCCACTTAGTATTATAGTTTGGTGGTATTTCTCTTCACTTAGAAGTGAGAGGTCTTAGGTTCGAATCTCATAGATGGCGAATTCGATATCAAATTAGGCTGCCCTTTTGGTGGCTTTGCCGAACCTCCCCCTCCTCTTAGTCTAAAAATATTGACGTACTTAAAAAAAAAAAAAAAAGCAACGATCAATGCATTAAAAGGTGAATCGTTAAAAGGTAGAAGGCAAAAAAGGTGAATCATTCATAATCCTAAAATTATTTCTCCCTAACTAAGATTTTAAAATAAAACAACTGTTGTAATCTATTTTATCTGACAAGGGAACAGGGGTCAGCGGCAAAGAGAGAGAGAGCAGAAAGAGATGTGTTTGTAGAATTGTGTAGAGGAACGTGTGTGTTATTCCCCCCTATATAGTGCCTTTATTTATAGTAATAAGAGGGAGAAGAAATCCTTCATCCCCAAGGAATACAAGTCCAAATCTAATCTAGGATTTACACAATCACACTTAAATAAGAAGTTTATAACACTCCCCCTTAAGTGTGTAAATTCAGCATCATATAGAAGTTGAGGAAGTCGACTCGTCGGCAATGATTGTGGGAACAACGTTATTCTCAATAAGGTAGGAAATTGCATAAGTAAGCAAGTCTGGCAAAAACCCGAGTCGGGACAAAATCCATAGTACTGGTTTGGTACTGAGGTGCTTTTATAAAAAGTGGGTATCAAAAAAGCTGAGGTCAAAAAGGTGTTTGGTAAACACTTAAAAACAACTTATTTTCACAGTTTTAGGTGAAAAAAAAGTTGAAAACGTGAAGCTGTAAAAGTGAGCTTATTCTCACAACACAGTAGAAACAATTTTTTTTCAAAGCACAGCAATACCAAACTAGCCCATAGTCTAAGGAAAAATGCGCGAGTAATGCAAAGTCAAAAGAAACATCTACAGGACGTCATTAGGGATATGATGAACCCAAGGTGAGTGACTCGTCAAAACATTGTTAGGTAGCAAAAACCCAGTGGAAAAAATGCTCCAATTCGTGGGAAAAAAGAGTACATTAAGATCAAGCAAGTATACTTCAGGATACTCCCCCTGAGTTTGACACAATTCCAAAGAGAACTAATAATGTTACAACTCAGAAAGTTTACGTATACCAATTCCTTGAACAAGCCTTTGAAACGTCTCTTTCAGTAGTGATTGGTGAAGAGGTTGGTTAGATTGTCTTGTGAACGGATTTGTGAGACTTCAATCTTCTAATGCTCTTGTTGTTGATGTGAGATGAAGAACTTCGGTGCAATGTGCTTGGTGTTGTCTCCCTTGATGTAACCCTTCTTGAGAGGTTCGATGCATGTTGTGTTGTCTTCATAGATCGTCGTTGAGACATCAACGACGGGGTAAAGATCACAAGAGCTTCGAATATCACCCATAACTACTTTCAACAAAAAGCATTCCTGAGTTGCTTCATGTAAGGTGAGAATTTCAGCATGGTTAGATGAAGTGGCAACTAAGGTCTATTTAGTTGACCTCCAAGAGATTGCGGTGCCTTCAACTCTAAAGACATAACCCGTTTGAAAACACACCTTATATCGATTAGATAAGTATCATGTGTCAACATAACCAACAAGGCAAAAATCGACTCGAGATAAGAGAGTGCGGCATCACTCGAGGATTCGTAGGGATAGAACAAGCCCAAATCCGTAGTACCCTTAAGGTAGCGGAAAATGTCTTTAACACTAGTCCAGTGTCTGTGTGTTGGTGCATTACTATATCTTGCCAAAAGATTAACAACAAAAGAGATGTCGGGTCTAGTGTATTGAGCTAAGTACAATAAAGCGCCTATCGCACTTAGATAAGGAACTTTAGGCTCCAAAATCTCTTCATCATCATCCTTCGGACGGAAGGGATCTTGTTTTGAATCTAGCGATTGAACGATCATAGAAGTACTCGAAGACTTCACTTTATCCTCGTTAAAGCGGTGCAACACCTTCTGGGTGTAGTTCGATTGATGTACTAAGATTCCATCCGAACAGTGTTCTATCTCGAGACCAAGACAGAATCGTGTCTTTCCTAGATCTTTCATCTCAAATTCCAACTTAAGGTGCGCGGCAGTGCTCGCGAGTTCTTCAGGAGTTCAGATGAGGTTTATGTCATCAACATATACTGCAACTATCGCAAAACCGAAATGTGACTTCTTAATGAACACACAAGGGCATAATTTGTTGTTTACATATCGCTGACTAGTTAAATACTCACCTAGACAGTTATACCACATTCTTTCGGATTGCTTCAAACTGTAGAGTGAACACCTCAGCTGAATTGAGAGCGTGTTCCGGGGTTTGGAAATATTTGATCCAGTCAATGTAAGTCATTCGGGAACTTTCATATAAATTTTTTTTATCAAGATCCCCATAGAGATACACATTTAGTACGTCCATCAACTGCATACTCAATTTTTTGGAAATTACCAAAATAATAAGGTAGCAAAAACTAATCACATCCATAACGAGTGAATAAGTTTTGTCATAGTCAATCCCGAGGCGTTGTGAAAAGCCTTGTGCAACAAGACGAGCTTTGTAACACACAATTTCATTCTTTTCATTACGTTTCCAAACGAAAACCCATTTGTAGCCAACGGACTTCACATGTAGAGAAATAGGAGCTACAGGTCCAAACACCTTACGTTTCGTAAGCGAATTGAGTTCAACTTGGATTGCTTGTTTCTAGTTTGACCAATCGGTTCTACGTCGACATTCATCAACGGAACGGGGTTCAATGTCATCGTTCAACATGATATTAGTAGCTACTGCATATGCTAATGCATTGTCGACGATCATCTCATTTCTACACAACACATCATCTAAGCTAGCATAATAGACCGAAATCCCACGATTCTCAGGAGGTAGATTCGTCTTTTCTAGGAAGCTTCTATAATCTAAGATTTCCTCATGAGTTGAATAAAATAAGTAAGCGATAGTCGGATTCACGGTAGGCTTTTCAGGGGAGTGTGCCGTGGGTTTCCTTTTTCGGATACATGAATCATTTGAACTAAGAAGTCTGCCACGCTTTTGTGTAAAGGTAGAGGATTGACTAGCCGCTAATGTAATAGGATCACCAAAGTTGGTGTCCCGAGCCTCTAGGAGAAAAGTCCATTGTATATTTGGTACATTCATCTTTGCAGGCACATTCGCAGTTGGAATATGTGATCTTGTCACTCGCGGTAGATCAATGAAAGCATCTGGCATGCTCTGAGCTATACTCTGGAGATCTGATATGTGCTGCACTTCAGTTTCAAATTGAGCTGTGTGGGGATCTAAATGAGACAAAGTGGGAGTCGTCCACGATAATTCACGTAGTTCTTCAAGAACATTGACGTTCTTATCTCCCCTTAACGACGGGAAAATTGTCTCATAGAAATGACGATTTGCGAAACGAGGGGTAAACAAATCGCTTGTGAAGGGTTCTAAGTAATGAATAATCGAAGGAGAATCATATCCGACGTAGATTCTCATCCTTCGCTGAGGCCCTATGTTTGTACGTAAAAATGGTGAAATCGGCATATAAACCGCATAATAAAAAACTTGCAGGTGCGATATGTCGGGTTTGTATCCGGTAACGAATTGAAGGGCGCTATATGGTTATGTCGCAACAGGCCTCAGGCGGATCAACATGGTTGTGTGCAATATTGCATAGTCCCAAGTAGCGATCGGGAGCTTGGTACGTATTACCAACGATCGAGCAATCATTTGTAAACACTTAATGAAGGCCAAGCCGTTTTGGGTGTTAACATGAGGTACTGGATGTTCAACTTTAACCCCAACAGACTTGCAATAGTCATCAAAAGTTTTAGATGTGAATTCTTCAGCATTATCTAATTAAATAGATTTGATTGGATAATCAGGGTGGTGATTAACTTGCCTCTTTAATAAATAAGGAGTTCATCTCCAACTGACTATGTAAATGATTCAATTTACTATTAAGGTTCTAAAAGACGCTAGGCGCTAGTTGGGCGGCATACTGGGGTCTAACGCCTAGGCGGAGGCCTAGGTGAACTAGGCGAAGTTAAGTAAATTTATTATATGTCATATAAATAAGTGTCTATTTATACTTAAAAAAAGATGCATAATTGTATAGGGATACATTTATTGCAAAAAGAAAATGAAATATAAATTATAGAGTATTAAAACATATTGTGCACATGGGAAACAAGGATATAATGAGCATTCGTTTGAGTATTTAACAAGTCCCTTACATTTTATTAAAAAAAAATAAAATGTAAGATGAAAGTTATTAATTTTTTGTATAAGTGAGAGTTGCGACCTATGTAGGTACCTATGAAGGTCTAGGCGGGTGCCTAATAAGGTCTAGGTGTCATTTCTTAATCTTCAAAGACCTAGGTATTAATCGAGATGGTGGCTAGTCGCCTATCACCGTCGAGATGGTGGCCAGCCGCCTATCACTGTCCCTCGGAGGGGATTTTTAAAATAGTTTTCACTATGTAGCTAAACGAATATAGTGTTGTTGTCCAATGAAATACGTAATCTTGC